GTTTCTTGATATTTTTAGACTAGAATAATTTATCAAATCAATATCAAATATCAATGTGCTAATATTCAATATATAATGTAAATTTATGTTGATATTTTGTGCTTGCAGGTTACTAAGAAGGCAGTTCTGTTGAGCAGTAGCATAAACATCTTGGAGATCCGAGTGTGCAAGCATCAATAAGGGGTAGCAAGCAAACCTACCACCCTGCTTGGTACTATCAATCTGTACTCTGTGTGGATTTGTGTTATGTCGATGTGGAAGTGTATGTACAGCTCACGGGGATTTGACGCGTCGAGTCGCATTACCGGATCCTGCATCGTGTTAGATGGATTACCAGATGTTGAGGTAGGACCTTTAACCCTCTACCTATAACTCTGTACTGTTTGCATGTGTTTGTTTAAGTGTGTACCTATATGTTTTGTATGATCCTAATACTGTGATCTATCATTTATGGTCTGATAATCTAAATTTACTGATTGGTGCTCTTGGCAATAATCAGACAAAAAATTATTGGTATTAAACACTGATATACAAATTAAATTGATTTAATAGAATAAATTTGGACTAAGAAAATCATTTTGGAGAAGTTTATTTTTTTTTGTTTGATTCAAGATCAAGTTCTTAAAGAAGATTTATTTTCTTTAAGAATATTTTTTGAATTGAGCAAAAAAATTTTTGAATTAAAGAAATTTTACTTAAAGTAAAAAAAAATATTAGTTTTTAAAATAATATTTATTTTCTTTAAGGATATTTTTTTTTTAATTGAGCAGATAAATGTTTTAACTAAAGAAAATTTCATTAATTTGTACTAGCAAAACCTTGCAGTTACTATATGTGACTGCTGTGATTTATGAATTATGAATAAATAAAATTTTGCTTTATTAAATAATGACTTTTGTTAACTTGTGTGTGTGTGTGTGTGTTTTTTTTTGGGCGAGAGGAGGGAAATCTTCATAGACACCGGCTAGATGTTGTTGATGTTGGTTGCCGGTAGTGTGAGATTCTTACTCACTAAAACCCTTCCCTCTCTTGTACCTGATACTGCGGGACCGCGTTAGCATTACTTCGCAGTACCAGGCCCCCTCCAAGCTACTCTTGTAGCTATTTCCTCCTGTAGCTATTCCTCCTATATAGTCCTGTAACAGGACCCTCCGTTTTTTGCGGCTGTGGCCGGCTTACAGTCTGTACCCGCATTTGCCTGTGCCCCGCTTATTTTAGGGGCACAATGACCGAGGAAAAACCACAGAAACCTGGTCAAGGTACAGTCGGCAAGGGAGCAAGCCCCGGAAATCGCAGAAGAAAAATTGCAATTGCCAGGGCTCGAACCCACGCCTGAGCGACTGCTGTGCGGCAGTTTAAGACTTAAACCGCTCGGCCAAGCAGTCGCCTAATGTCGAGGTGAGCTTATATCTTTAAAAAAAGTCAATAGTTCACAAGATATTTGTTAAAATGCCCTGTACTTTCTTAACTTTTGACGTTTTTAAAGATATAAGCTCATCCTGATGTTACACTCATTAAGAACTTTTATTTGAGTACCCACATGCATTTTGATATATTTTTCATATATACATATATATAAATATATGAAAAATTGATGTGGGTATTTAAATGAAAGGTCTTGATGAATGTAACATCGGGATGAGCTTATATCTTTAAAAATGTCAATAGTTCACAAGATACAAGGTCATTTCTTAATTATCTATCTAGAGATAGAGTATTTATGCATTTTATCATATAAATACACTGGCCACAAAATTTTGCTTTTTCTCTTAATAATATCAATTAATTCATTAAAATTCTTCAAAATGTTTTTTTTTATAAAGATTTTCTTTTTCAATCTAACAAATTTTCATATTACTTATTGCGATTGGAAAAGATTAAAAATTATAGTCACTTAGATACATTTTTTCAATTATTTTTATAAATAAAAAAATAAAATTATATAATTAGAATAAAATATGGATATGGATATGGATCTGGTGTAAATTCATTGAATCGAGTGGTATGGCGCAAGAAAAGGAAGTGGTGTGCGGTGAAAAGTCGAGGGGTGATATGATAGCGCTGGAGGCTCGTGCTACTGACGGGTCAATTATCTCGAGAGCGTGGAGTTCTTAGGAGTGACTAGTGACTACACACCCGCCTATTACCCCGACGATCTTTAGTCTCTTTAGTCTTTTATTTAGCCGTTGGTTGGTTGGCTTTATTTTAAAATAAGGCCTTTGTCACCTCGACTGGGAGCCGGGAGCCCACAGCCCTTTCCTTTCCTTTGTCCCGGGGCTATTAACCGGCCATCTCATTTCACAGCGACTTTGACTCCTGTCAGTAGCTTCCTCAATCTTTATAGCCCCTTGTATATTATTATATTTGTATATTGTCATGCTAAAATGGTAATCAATTTCGGGTAATTTGAGGACGAGGATGTTTATCAATTAAAATATTTAAGTTATATATTTTTCGTTTAGTTTTATGGAGTAAAATGTTTAATTTTTTTAAACATTTTATTCATTAGTATTTTTACTTATAAAATTAATTTTTTTTTTATATTAAACATTAATATAAATTTATAAACAATACTTAGTATTAATTTTAAAAAATATTAAAATAAATTTATGGAATAAAAATTAAAAAAAAAATTCTTTTCACTATTTTCACCTTGATTTTTTTTTCTCTTGAATCAAGCTAATTTTTTTTCAACTATGGCAATTTTTAATGACTAATATTGTCAATTTTTTATATTTCTTTTATTTGGAAAAAAAAGTCTTATGCAAACTGATAAAAAAAATATTAATTAAAAAATCAGTGTTTGAAAAAATTCCTATCTATTCAAAATAGTTTAAATATTTGACATTCTTCATATTTTTTACAATAATATTTTTCATTATTACAAATATCGGAAAAAAACATTGTTTTTAATATTTTAAGCAATTAAATAAATTTTGATTAAATATTTTAAGCAATTAAATGAATTTTAATTTAATAAAATAAGCGGAATGTTAATTTTGATCTGATAAATTTTTTAAAAACAAAAAATTTACATAAAACTACTGGGAAAAAAAAGGTGAAACAATGAAGATTAATTTTTAAGTATTAGAAGTTATGGCGGAAATAAAAATAATAAATAATATGCAGAAGCGGTGAAGGCACAGTGGATGTGTAAACAACGGCGAGGATGCCGCGGTCGAGCGCGTTGCACTCGCATACGTAAAGTCCGGGAGGGTTGATTTTCTCGTGCCCTAGGTTAGAAACCACACTACATACTTCATGCTACATACTACATACTAAATATGTGTATCTCTATATTTATTATGTATGTACGTATGTATGTATGGGTATTGGATCCAAGAGTAACGTTGAGCAGAGTATAACTGATGGCGATGGCAACTAGGACGTACGCGTGCACCACCCATAGAAATCGGGTAGGTTTCCATCCCCGGCAGCAATATCCCCGGAATCAGCTGCCAGATTATTCTATTACCGCGTATCAACATCGGGTTTGTTTAGTATGAAAACACTACCGCCGCCACCACTGCCAGCCGTTCATAACCGCATTGTTTCAGACAGATAAAGAATTTAAGGCCGGGTAATTAAAAACGCTGCCGGGTACTTTGTAAGCTCTCTTTTACTATTTTATTATCTCAAATAAGATTTTATATTATCATCATCATCATATTTCACTCAACTTCATAATAAAATTATTATTATTATTAATTATAAAACAATAATTAAAATCTAATTTTTATTCATTTTAAAAAATTTTCTTTATTTTTACTTTAAAAATTATTTTACTTGATTTAAAAAATTTTAATTGTAGATTTTTAAAAGTTTTCTTACTAAATTTTATACAGAAAAATTCTCTTAAATTTTTTTCATTCAATTTTTCTGTATAAAAAATTACTTGTGGTCTTTTAATCTATTTCTTCTTTATAAATTTTTAAAAATTTTACATTATTTTTAATAATAATTTTCTTTACTTAATTTTAATAATTTACGATTTTAAAATAAAAAATGTTTTTATTAATTATTTACACTTGTCTTAAATAAAAATGAAAATAAATATTAATATTAAATAAATTATAAATCCTTATATACTTCTTGATAAATAAAATAAACATAAAAATTATGTAGGGTGTGTATTGAAAAGGATGAAATTAGGGGGTTAAGTATATACCGAGTGCGTTTACCTCGCGGTCTGTCGAAACAATAATAATCGGCGCTACGCGTTCACCCAGCCGTTAATTAAAATAAAATTAATTAGATTGTTGTGAGTTGGTATACATAAACTCTGCTGGGACTAAATTAACCATTCTTTTATAAGTACGTATTTATATTATCTTCACTGAAAAAAAAATTTACTTGATTCAATGGAAAAAAACTTGAACCAAAATAATTATTTTTAAGAATTACTTTTTAGCCAAGAAAAATTTCTAAGATTAAAAACTTTATTAATTTTTTAAATTAAATTTTTTTTTAGAGTAAAAAGGAAACCAATAGTCGGCATGATCCTCTAATATTTTTCCACAATTTTTTTTTATTATAAATTTAAGTTATTATTATATTTTTCCACTAACAATTCGGCTCTTGAAAGGCCTCACGTTATTTCCTCGAGAATCTCCGTAATTTTATAAACACCATAAAATCTTGCGTCACACTGTGGCTTCGTCGCCAGCCCGCGAGATTGCCATATAAAACACCCGTAAGGCTTCGTCGTGTACCCGCCGGGAAAATAATTACAAAATCACGAGCCAACTGCGGGGATGCTGGCCTTCCCTCTCTGCATAATACACTTTCATACTTATAAATATATCACACTGTTTCTGTAATTTAATCAACTTTAACCTCTTTTGTTTTTTTTCTCTTTAACCTAATTTGGTTATTATTTTTAAACACATTAAATTATCGAGTTAAGTTATGTCGGTGAAAAGTGATAAAGAAAGTGAGCAAGCCGTGAAAAATGAAGATAAAAAGAAGAAAAAAGATTTAAATCTTTTTAAGAAGAAAAAATGGACGTGCGAAGGCGAGCCTCTTTGGAGAATTTATTTCAACTCGTAATTTATTTTATTAATTTTATTACAAAGAAATATATATCATTAAATTTATCAAAGTTTATTACTCCTCAATAGTTTCTTTAATTAAAATGAAACTAAAATTAGCGGACAATTTTTAGAAATTTTTTTCAGCGAATAAATTATTGTAAAAACCAATTTTTTAATTTTTTAGAATCCCTTCAAGTAAAATTTTATTTATTAATATTTAATTGATAAAAAAAAGGCTTAAAATTGTAAACTAAACTATAAAAAAATCCACGTATAATAAAATGGCGTTTTTGTAAACAAAATTTTTAATTTTCGATGAAAATTGTCTATAAAAATAGAAAATATTTATCGGAATTATTAATCTTTAAAAATATAATTGAGAAAATTAATTAAAAAAAATTAAATTGATGAAAAAGAAAAATTCTTATACTAAGAATATCATTTTGAAAAGTTTGATCATTTTAAATCAAGTTCAAAAATTATTAAGTTGATCAAAATTTATTTGAACTAAGATCAAGATGATATTTTTGCTTTAAGAATTTTTCTTTTAAATTAACTTAATTCTATTGTTAGTGTGATTAGTCTAGCCGTTTTTAAAAAATTTGGCCTACTGAATTTAAAAAATTTATAATTAATTAATCTTATAAGTACGTATAACCCTTTAATTTAATAAATAACTAAATACAAAAAAAAATATTGATAAAGTTACATCGAAAAAGAAAAAAAACTGGAGCATGAAGATAAATTGAACCGACGAAAAAAAGCAGATCTCCCTCGCCAGGATTTGGAGCCCAGCCAAGAAATGTATCCGTACGAGTGTTACCCGCTCAATATTTTAAATCGTAGACGAGCGCAGCTGCTGGATCAAATAGAGAGCTCTCATTTTAACCCCGGCGATGAGAGAAAAAAAATTCGAATCTGGCGTAATATGAAAGCGGATCTTCAAGTACTTACATACTTAACTTTAAACAAATATATTGTTTACCTCCTAATAACTGACAACACCTTTACTTAGATTGACATGAGCAGCTTCATCAAAACTGAATCATCCCCGGAAGTGGAACTAGAGACCTGGACCACCGGGGAACGATGCATTCCGTACCGCGATCAAGTCCTAGGATTGGGAGCTATTGACTCAAATGTCGGAGATGTTGACGTTGATGATTATGCTACTTGCAGAGAACTTGGGCATGCACGAGTGCCTGCAGTATGCCTGGCCACTAAAAAAACCCATCAGATTGTTGATCGATCCACCGGAGAACGGCCGGGCTTAGTGGACGGTGATTACGTAACGTGTGAATTTGAGTCCAAGGGTGATTACCGACTTGTGTACACTCAGGTCTGTTTGAGAGGGACCAAGGGGATGCATCTGATTGAACTGGCTAGGGAACGCACGAAGACCTGGAAGTTTTGCTTTTATCAAGCGCTGGTTGCTTTGTTAGCTAAAACGCAATTGAGGTCTTCATTATTCATTATTTTATTTTTTTCTTTATTAGCTTAAATTATTATTATTATTATTTTATAAATATTAAATTATAAATTAAATTAAATATTAAATTTCCTACAAAAAAGCTTATCATTTTTTCGTATCTTTAATATTTTGTCCAAAATAATGATAATAATACTACAATTTTAAAAATGTAATTTTTTTTTTAATATTTCAAAAATGTAAACTATAATTATTATTATTTTAATCAATATTGTAACCTAAATCGCACTAATTTTTCCTTAGATATAAATTTGCAACCAGTAACAATATTGATTACATCTACGACCTTGCCTGGATGCTGTTTCTTCACGTGGGAAGTCTCAGTATCAATCACAAACTTAGATTGGACGACGTGGTGGTTTATAATTACAATTACTGCGTAGAAATGGAGTTAGTCCAAGAATTGAAGGATGTTGAGAAAGACTCGGGCGTTGGTTTCAGATTTTTGGAAAAGGGAGTAAAGATACGGGCAATGAAAAGGCCGGAATTGATGAAATTGACTGGAGAGTTGGGACAAGAAAAGAAGAAATTATTTTTGGACAAGCCGGTTCATGAGGGAACGAAGGAAATAGAGCACTGGTTTGATAAACTACCGGATAATTGCAGAAATTGTGTGTTCAGGACTGAAAAGTTCGCGCTGGCTTTTTGGAAAGATGGCAGCTTTTGGTACCTGTACAATCCTTATCGTTGCGACAAGTTTGGGTTTTGGGATGATAATGGGAAGGCGAGTGTCATTAAGTTCTGCTCGAGGGTCGCTTTGAGAAGACATTTGATGATTTTGCTGGTTAGGGCGTATGCTTATGGGGTTAATCGTGGTGATTTGGAGCAAAGTGAAGATAATTTTGAGGATTTAAAAAGCGAAAAAATTGGTGCAGATACTAAAGGTGATGGAAATGTGGAAAGTGAAGAAGTAAATTTTATAAATGATGAACAAAAATTGGAAAATGTAAATGATGGAGAAGTTCAGGAAAATTATGAAGTTGGTTTAGAAAAAGAAGAAAATAATTTAGAGGGTGATAATTTGGAAAAAAATGAAGATGACAATCCGGAAAGTGAGGAAAAAAAATTGGAAAATGTAAATGATGGAGAAGTTCAGGAAAATGATGAGGATAATTTAGAAAATGAAGACAATAATTTAGAAGGTACAAATTTGGAAGAAAATGAAGATGGAAATAAGGAAAGTGATGAAAAAAAATTGGAAAATGAAGAAAATGTAAATGATGAAAAAGGAATTCAAGATAATGATGAGACAAATGCAGAAAATGATTTAGTAGAAGACAATATTTTAGAAAATGTAGAAAATAAAGATGAAAATCTGGCAAGTGATGAAAAAAATGAAGAAAATATAAAAAATACTGAAGAAATTCGAGAAAATGATGAGAAAACTTTGGACAATACAAACAACTTAGAAATTGATAAAGTTAATCCGGAAAATCAAGAAGAAAGTACGAACAATGAAGAAAATTTATATATTAAACAAAGAAATCAACATCATAATTCAGGAAATGATAAATTAACAATTCAAATCTTCCAGTTGAATTATAACTGCGTAAAACTCCACAATCTTAAATTACTCTGTAAAAATTCATCAAGACCAAAAACAAGACCTATAACCAAAAAAGTAGACGAGTATGATGTATCTTCAAACAATTTAGACAGCGAATTAGTTCCCAGTACCGAGCATATTGAAAAACCTTCATGGCTGTCTGAAAACCGAATTACCTGGTCAAAAGTATCCTCAGCCTCGCCGTGCAGAAAAGCTCGTTGGCACGAATATTTAGTGGAAGAACCGCGAAAACTATTCAGTCTCTGGGGTGAAATCCATCCGACGGGCAGGATGTTCTCTCCGGAAAACCGTGGGAAGCAGATTCACGCATGTTACCTCGTCTGTTTGGGAATGTCACGAATAATGGCGCCGGAATATTGGAGTTCCAAGACACTGGATACAGTAGTAATGTGCGGTGATCGATGTTACGCATCCAGCAGACTTCAAAGTGACGCTGCATTGGGAAATTCCATTGACAATAATAATCAGAGGAACAATGCCGATGTCGACAGAGCACGTACGTCCTGGGAGAGCTACTTAACGAGGCATTTTAAAATTGGCGATATGCTCTTTGAAGTCAAAGTACTCTCGGCAATTTGTGGAAGACTCTATTCAAGAAATTCTTTATGGAAAATTCTTCAGCAGATGTTCCTCACACACTCTTACGGAGTCTTAACTTGCGAGAGTTCTTGTCTTGCTATTTTTAAATTCTGCGGAGCTTATTACGTCTTTGACACTAATTCTTTCGGTCCGCCAATTTTTGACTACGGTCAGGGGGTTGCTTATCTGCTTCGTGCCACAAGTTTCCAAAAATTACTTAAAACTCTTATTCTGATTATAAATTCCCTGGAGTCCAGCAGATTTTCCGTAAATCCTGTGGAAATTTTAAAAATAATCGACGTCGAGTCTCCTTGCAGCAAAATCAAAGAGAAAAAATTGAAGAAAAAATTAAAAAGGACAAAAGGCTGTAAATAAAGTAAATTTTTCGTATTGGCTGTAATGTAATTTGATGTAATGGAGCAAACAAGATTCTATTACATCGAATGGCTGCATTTCAATCGTAGAAGCCGCGGAAACTGGATTGAAGTGTAGAAACCCTTCTTATATATATTGGAGGGTAAAAAATGGTGCATAGTATTAATATTAACAACGATGAGAATATTTGAAATAATAATAATTATGGCTGCAAAACAGAGAACTATTTGGTTAGTAAATTTATTAATATAGTTGAGTACAAACAATTAATCTTAGTAACAAGGACAAGCGCATGTCATTTATGAAAAATGGAGAAAATAAATATTGTAGAGCTCGAGTTGAGCCAGAACAAAGAGAAAAAGCGCCGGTGAATTAATTAAGAATTGAAGCCACTCAAACAACCCGCTAATTTAAAATTGTTCTTGTTCTCTCTTTTACTATTTTTATTTTATTTTAATTAACTAGAAAAAATACTATTTAAACTCGTAATGCAGACTTCAAGAAGCTGAGGCTAGGAAATAAATTTGAATTGTGGATTGTTTTTATGACAATTGTTCAAAGGAGGATTTTTTTAATATTGAGATGTCAATAAATCATTTTTTTAATATTTATTAATTTTTAGTAAATGATTTATTAAAAGAAAATTAATATTTTTTAATTATTGATAAGCATTTATTTGAATGTTTTTAAAAATAGTGATTGTAGAAATTTTATTTTGACACTTTTTACGATTAAATAATTAATAAAAAAAATAAATAAATAATTGATTTAAAAATTCTAATAGATTAAATAACATATTTATAATTTTTTTACATTATAAATAAATAAAATTGTCAAAAAAAAAAATTACAAATATTTAAAACAAAAAAAAAATATTTGCCATTTACAAAAATAAATAAATAATTGACATAAAAATTCTAAAAAATCAAATAATATATTTATAATTTTTTTATATTAAAAATAAATAAAATTATGAATTATTAATGTAATATTGCAGACACATTTAATTTTAAAAATATCTTTAAATTTTGTTTCTTTCAAAAAAATATTTATTAAAAAATAATGAATTAATAAATTCAGATCAAAAATTATTTTTAAAGATAATTCATCAAAATAAAATTATCAAAAAAAAAAAATTACAGATATTTAAAACAAAAAATAAATGTTTGTCATTTAAAAAAATGAAATGAACTGTAAACGTCGACAATATAAAATAAAAAATATTATGGAGCTAAAATCAAGTCAGCGGGTTTATTGTCACAGCTCATAGTCGCAAAGCATTGTTGTCATTAATGTATGATCGGGGTGTCAAAGTTTGTTACAGTAAACTTGAGGCACAATAGAGTTGAATAGCTTTTATGCTCATAATGTTAATATAAGACACTCTGAGTAGTCTCACGAGTAGCACTAGGCAGGTCTTTGGTCACCTGAATAATTGAACCCGTTGGATTTGTTGGTCTACTTCAAGCCAAGTACAAGAATAAGCGAGTCTACATAATAAAGTTAGGGGCCACTTAAGTCGAGCGTCTTTAAGACTCAGCGTGATATCAAACCCGAACGAATAAGTAAAGGTAAAGAGTAAAGAGCAGAGGCTGGTTGTCGACGAGCGACGAGGGACCATTAAACTTGCACCGGGAATCGTCTTATAGTTTATTCCGGAGCGAGTTTCCCCGGGGTTGTATACTTACTCCAAGTAAAGTTAGCTCAACGGCGCTCTCCTCATGTCAGATGTCCGTGCGCTAAACTAAGGTGGTGTTATATAATATTGGAGAGAGTCGTACTTTTAGAGAGCGAGGGTTTTTTATTCTAGTTCGGTTTATTTAATTGTTAGTCCTAGACACTCTTTTGCTGCTCCAACTGTCATTGTATTTTTTAAGGAGAAGAAATCAATTATTATTCCGACAATTTTTATTATTACGTTGTTGCATTATTAATATATTAATAATTATGACAAAATGTGAGTTAAAAAAAATTCTTGTCATTATTATTATCTATATCATTAAGAGAATAAGCAAAATTTTGTGGCCAGTGTATTTAATCATTTTATGATTAAAAGTATTTAGGCTGCATTCGAAAACGCTCTATTTCTAGATACATAATTAAGAAATGACCTTGTATCTCGTTAACTATTGACATTTTTAAAGATATAAGCTCATCCCGATGTTACACTCATCAAGACCTTTCATTTGAGTACCCACATCAATTTTTTATATATTTTATATATTTATATATATGTATATATGAAAAATATATCAAAATGCATGTGGGTACTCAAATGAAAGCTCTTGATGAGTGTAACATCGGGATGAGTTTATATCTTTAAAAATATCAATGATTAAGAAAATACAGTGCAATTTAACAAAAAGTATTATTTAATAAAGCAAAATTTTACTTATTTATAGTTCACAAATTACAGCAGTCACATAGTGACTGCAAAGTTGCTAGTTAGTATTAATTTCAAAAAATTAAATCTTAAAAAAAAATATAAAATGCAAATTTTTTCGCTAATTTTTTCTTACGGAATAATAATAAAAATTTTCTGAACAATTTAAAAATAATCATAACAAAAAAAAAAAAATTTTTGTTCCAATCCTTTGAAAATGAAAATATTAAAATTAAAAAAAAATTATTTTGGTATAGAAATTTTATTATTGTTATCATTATCATAATAATAATATTAAACAAAATGAATTTTATATAATTGAAATAAATTTAAAAATAAGATATGTTGCAGTCAAACAATAATTTATTTTACACATTGAAGCGTATTTACAGATTTATATTTATAATAACTAAGTATGTACATTATATTTTAAAATTATTTACATTAATTTTTAATAAATTTTTTATTAACACTAATCAGCTAAGATTCGTTTTGTTAAATAATTTATAATATTCTTCTTAATTTTTTTTATAATACAAAAAGCCAATGTCGTGGCGAGGACTATGCGACCTCCAGGTCTGAACTGTCAGTGTCCTCGTGCTGACCATTGAGACTAAGGTGACCCGGAACTCGGATTGCATTTACACTGTCGTCACTTCGCTGTCGTTGCTCCAATTGGAGCTTTCTTAGACGTTCCTGCTCCTCGCGCTTTTGCTTTCGCCACTTTGCTCGGCGGTTTTTGAACCAAACCTGAAAGTAAAAAAAAAAATTTTTTGAGTATAAATTTAGCAGTGAGCATTTTATAAAAAATTTTTTTCCAAGAAAATTTTAATCTTAATAATGCTAATGATAAATATTATGTTTAAGTTATTATTTTTCATAAAATAATCTTAAAACTAAAACCATAAAATTTGTTATCGGACAAAAACCTGTCAAAGAATTATGAAAACAATAGATGTTAATATAAACTCTAATTTACTCAGCTTGTTTACAACCATAAACTTGGATTATCACATTTCCACTTTCCGAAAATCTAAGAATAAGAAAATAAAAGATAAAAATAATAAACGAAGATTTTAAATCAAATTCATCCACTAAGTTATCTAACCACATTGTTTACATAAAAAGCAATCTCCTTTATTCTATTTAATTTAGTAATTCTCGGCAAACAGCGCGAGGCGCGAGTGCAGGCAGGTGTACCCGTACCCGTACCCGCTTTCCTCAGGTATATGTTATTTTTATTTTAGAATTCTACCTTAACTTATTTTTCAAGAGGATTTAATACGGCTATGTGGGTGGTCAAGCTGCTACAATTTTATTTATTTTATATAAAAAATTTTACTCTACTCTTGAATTTACGAACCGATTCACTTTATATAAAAATATCCACTCACATTTGTCCCTTTGCCAAAAGACGCGTCAAAGAACTTAATCTCTCTTCAATTTTATTATCATTATTTTTTATTATTAAATAATAATCAATATTTATAAATTTAATTCAATAATTTTATATCAATTATATGAAAGTTATTTTTTAAAATATTATTATGATAAAAACAATAATTAATTTTTTTTTTTAAATATTAATTTTTATATTTAAAATTAAAAAAAAATTTTTTTCAAGAAAAAATTGACTTTAAAATTTTTTTTTTTTTATTCATTTTAAATAATTTTTTTTTATTTTAAAAAATAAAAATTATTTTCTCCTCTCCGTGCGGAAAGCGTCAATTTTTCGCTCGCTGCGCTAAACGAAAATGCCGCTTTCCGCCTCTGTCGAGGAGAAAAATAGTTTTATTTTTTAAAATAAAAAAAAATTTTTTTCAACAAAAAATTGACTTAAAATTTTTTTTTTGAGTTATTTTTATTATAATCATTTTTGAAATAAATTTAAAGGAAGATCTTGATTTAAGATTGACAATTGGAACAAACTGAAAGCGAATAGGTGTTTACCGTGCGATATATTCTCATACAAGGGGTGTGTTGTTGATGCTTATGAAAAGCAACCGCGCCCTTCTCGTGAATCGTTCGAGCGCGGTGAAACGAAATCACTGAGTTAAGCCGCAGAGGGTCTAAAAAAGATCCATCGGAGTTTTTTCAGCGAGAAAAATTTAAAATTTTACTACCGCTCAATATTATAAAAATTACCTAAAACTTGCATAAATTAAAAATAATTACTCTAAAGCCGGATTACCTCGACTTGCATAATTAATTCAAAAAATTAAATAAAAATCTATCTCGCGAACAATAAAACTATTTTTTCCTCAAATTTATCCTCACGCTTAATTATAATAACACCGTAATACTATTAGCTTCAAATATTATAATTAATCCTGCAACGCCGACTATAATTATGTTAATTATGAATTATGAGCGCAGTTTTTAATCTTGTGTACATTTAATTTAATGAGATTTCGACATTAACACACACCATCGGCTAATACACTGTTGAAACTACTGCTCTACTGTATAAAAAAAAAAAAAGTATTGTTTCTCAATAAAATAAAAAGATACTTTTGAGAGAAATTGTCCACGAGTAGAGTTCCGTTTGCAGAGCGAAACCCGATACGCGGAGGGTCCAAACAAAAAACCAATTTGTCAGTTAAAACTCCTAGACAAAGAAAAAGTCTCGATGTGTCGAGGGGTGGGATGGGAGAAGGGTCTACTTTAGGTTTCCCGAGTGCGAGGGATAAGAATTGTTTGAGTAGGAATTATTTATTGGCCAAAGACTGAAGAAGAACTTGATCGACTTTGCATTAAATCCAAACTTTTAACTTTTTCTTTCTTATCAATAAATAAACAGATCAATTGCAATTGATTTAAAAATTTTTCAACTTATATGTTTTAATATGGCCATATATGACCAGATATATCTAAATCTATATAATTTTTATGTTAATAAAATATATATGGGCATATAAAAATATATTAAGCTTGATATGGTTATATAAGGCTCTAATATCAAAAATTTATATATGCACATGTCGGATTATATATAAAGATAGAAAATTTCTTTACGGAATATAATAATCTTTTTCTAATTATTATTAACTCAGGGAAAGAAACTAAATTTTTTAACATTAATATTATTTATTCTTTAATACACAGAAAAAAAAATTTACTTTAATCAAGTAAATAATTTTGAAAAATTTCATCTTCTTAATTTGAGTAAAAAAATTCTTAAACTAAGAAATTTTTCTTGGTTTAAATAAATTTTATTTAATTCAAGAATGTTTCTCTTGATTCAAGTTAATTTATTTTTTTTTTTTTAGTGTACAATTTAATTATTCTTCAATAATTTTTTTTATCAATTTGCAATTTATAAATTTTTAATTTTGACATATTTATCTTTTTTAAATAGATTTCTGAAAATTTTGGATAAAACCCTTAAATTATTAATCTCTTTTATTGATTTAACAATATATATTTAAATTAAGAGCTGAGCGCCTTAACTATAATTTTTTTTCTTAAATTAAAATAAAAAATTGAACTTACTTCAATCCTTTCCTCCTTGAGGTCGACCTGCAACGCGAGTTGTTCCCTCAGTAAAACATCGGGATAATGAGTCTTATCAAAAGTAGCCTCCAGTTGCTCTAATTGCTCCTCTGTAAAAATAGTCCGATGCCTGCGTTTCCTCTTGGTCATTGGACCAACCCCAGGACCGTTCGGGTTCATCTGATAGGGATGCGTCGCGTGGTAAAACGCCGGTTGGCTGTGCAACGACACCCCCGCGGCCGCCATCGCCGCTACATATCCACTCGGGTAAAGTCCTGGATACGCTGCAGCTGTAAATAAATAAATTAATAAATAAATAATTGATATATTAGTATGATAAATGATAAGTAAGAACTTTGACAATTCATTTTCTTCCTCGTGAATTTTTTTTCTTAATACTTCTCGCTTCTAATTCGAAATGACGTTCATTGACGCGTTAAAATTCGCTATACTGGGAAAAAAGTGAATAAAATCCAAAGTAGTACCTACGCTATATAGTATAAAGTAAGTAAAAATGCGCCTTTACGCTTTTCCGAGTCTGAAAAGATTCTCAGAGCGACGCCCGACCGGGGATTTGCATGAAATATTTTTTTCCCCACGTTCTTAAGGATTAGACCAATCCCACAGGACCAATCTTTGCTTTTGTGAAAAATTTTATCCAACAGATCCAGTCTCAGACTTGGTAATAGTTAAAAGTATTTATTTATTTAATAAAACTTCTTATCTAACGCTTTAAAATAATAAATTTCAAATAATATCAAAACAATAATTGAATATTTTATTTATTTATTATTAAAACATTTTTTTCAGTAACTTTAATATTTTTTTTACTAATAAAATTTTATTTTTTTAATCTCAATTATTTGAGCATTTAGTAATTATTTTTCTTGGTTCATTTTATTTAATAATAAAATAATTATATAATAGCATACTAAAAATTTTTTTTTTAATTATAATGTTCAGTATTAATAAAGGTAGACTTTAATAATTTATTCAATTATATTAAAATTTTTAATAATTATCAATATTTATGATTTTAATTTAATAATTGAAGCGAAAAAAAAGGGAGGATAATTTTATATTAATTATATCAAATTAATTTTTTTAAAAATATAATAATAATAATAATAATAATAATAATAATAATAATAAAATTAAGATTGTTTATGATTTTAATTTAATAATTGAAACAAAAAAAAAATGGAGGATAATTTTTTTATTAATTTTTTAAATATATAATAATGAAATTAAGATTGATAAGAAGAAATTAAAAAAATATATTATTATTATTATTAATTTTTTTTAAAGTAAAAAAAAATTAGCAACAAAGTTGATATTTTACATTTATCTTTAAAAATTTATTTTCACTATCGGAAAAAAAAAAAATTAAAAACAAAAGTACCTAAAAAATCAGCGGGTGTAAAAGCAAGATGATGAAGCTGTTGCTGAAGAGGATGCAAAGTCCTTGGCGGCGAATCGACGGCCTCAGAATTATTTTGCCCACCAATTCCAGAGCTCGTGCTCGTGGAATTGCCTCCCGTAGGTCTGGGTGCCAAAATACTGTCAATAGTAAACAAAGAAGTGGGAGAAGTTAACGCGGAAGATGAGCTGGGCCTCGAAGAAGACGTGATGATTTCTCTTTGTCGATATCGCGTTTCTTCGCTCATCGGACTGGTCCTTAAAAATCCGCGATCTCGCTCGCGATTAAAGTGCTCTTTTTGCGTAAATTGCTCAAGCGTTTTTAACTTCTGCTGGACACTTTCCGGGGAGTAACTATATAGGAACCGCTGGTGGTTCAAAATGTTTATATTCGTCGCGGAAATTCCTGACGTGTCTTGCAGTGGCGAGGATGGTTCAGTCATTGGGGATCTAGATCGCGGCGAGTCACCAGCGTATGAACTTTCCACCATTATAATTGCAATTTTTTATATTTATTTTATTGTTATTATTAATATAATAATAATAATAATAATAATAATAATAATAATTTTTTATCACTTTTTGAACACAAACTTTTTTACTTTATTTAAAATTAATATTATTATATTTTTAATACAATAAAACACTGCACAGATTTTCAAGTAAATTAATTTCCATTACTTTGAAAAAAATATAATTTAAATTATAAATAAAAAAATTTTACAATCAAGCATTTGTGAGTACAAAAGTCCCGACGCTGTCAGCATCCGGAGTGATAGTAAAATAGTACAGATGACGGAGGGCCCACCGGCGAGTGACCAAACGGTAATATTTATCGTATAGAGATCGAGGATGTTGAGGCTGAGAGAGAACAGACCAGAGAACAGCCTTGATTTTACGGCAACCCCCACAATGATGCGCCAACTCAGGGGTGAGTACCCCGGAGAACAAGCGGGCGTGCTTTTTTAGGGCCACGCCCAGCAAGATGCGCCAGACCGCGAGTTCTCTGATATATATCACCATCACATAATACCAAATTGTATATATATATAAATATAGATATACGTAAATATCATAGTAACCAAACGGATAGGATCCGAACCTCAACCTCTTACTCTGGCGTGCTCTAGCTGCTTTATTTGTGATCTGATTTTAATCGATAGCTTATAATTTATCATATCTAATAATAATTATAATTATCATGGACTTTCATTTGATCGAGAAGAATTTTTAGTTTTTTAAGAAGTTAAAATACCAATTTTTTTTTTCATTCTTGTACATTTTAATTCTAATAATTATTCTTTAGGTTTTAGAGTAAATTTTAGTCCAAATGAATTTTTTTTAGAGTTTATAAAAAGTTGTTTGTTAGTTTTTTTAATTTATTTAAAAAATTAGGGAGATTAATTCGGGGCCAATAGAAGGTAATTTTTAAGATTTGGTTGCTTTAAAAAAAGAAACTTTTTTTGGTTTAAGATAATTTTTACTTAGATTGACAAAAAAATCATAAGAGAAAAATTTTTAAACCAAGAAATTTTTTTTGGCTTCGGTAAATTTTACTCAGTTAAAAAAACTTTTTGGTTTTATTCATTAAGATGATATTTTTGTTGTTGGTATCCTTTTTTTCTCTGAGATTAAAAATTAGGAGTGTAAAAGACCAAAACAATAAAATATATTTAACGTTTTATTCAATAATTTATTAATATTGTAATTTTGTACTTCGATCTAAAGTTTTATGGACAAAAAAACTTGAAAAATTAAAATTTAAAGTACAATTTATAGAAGCTTGGTTAAATGAATAAACTGAAAAAATTACAGACAAAAAATTGAATTTTTTCTAAAATTTTGTAAGAAATAAATTTCAAAACTATGAAATTAAATAGTTATGATATTATTTACCAATAATATTATTTTAAATTGTAACTTTTTCAACTTTTGCTCGAAGTTTCTCTTAATATAGATATAGAACATAAGTTGTAATTTTTATTCTTTTTTTTTTTGACTTACTATTCAAAGTATTTTTATTTTTTACCTATTATAATTCTCAAAAACCTTTATTTATTGGTGTATAAACTATTAATTTTTTTTAGGTTGATTTTTAAAGTAAATAATATATTTATTTTTTGTGACTAAAAAAAAAAGCAAAAAATTTTTCCAACTTACTAAAAAAAAATCTTCATTAATACTTCGTTAAAAAAAACCAACATATTAAAGAATAAAAGTACACTAGTAATATATATTTAACAATCCAGCCTCGGGGAATTATATCCAAACATCAATATAGGATTTGCGTCTCTGCAAGCTCAATTCTTCTTACATATGTATTATATTATTATATACACCAAAAGTAAAATCTGAATAACAACAATAATCTGTAATACAAGTAACTGTTCCTCTATTTACATTTCTATTTTTCCCAGAAAATTAATACAAATAAAATAAACATGAACGAGGCCCCAAAAATAATTCGCGGTCCCAATCCTCGCGTATCCTTAATCCTAATCCCTCTGACATCGATCCAGCTTTTTTCCATATGTCAGTCGAGTCGATTATCCACCAGCAGAGTCTATAAATAATGAGTAACGATAAACCTGATTAGTGAAAATAAAAAATTAATCGGGAAGGTTGTTAGTAGCATCAGCCATGTAGTTTCCGGAGTAAAAAGACTGATCAGATGTCCTCGTTGCGATTTAACGCACTGTCAAGCTTAAGAGAGCTAATATGCACGATATACGATTGTAAGAAAACCCCCGTGCAAACACAAATCTGTAATACGGGACAGGAATAGGGATAGGAGCGATTAACGCCTGGATTAGGATCAACAGCGCGCGCTCCAGATTTTCACGATCAGTATTATAATGCCTTGGTCCTGCCTTGTTGTACCATGTGAATCTTGTACACATGCTCATCAAACGATCCTCCATTCTCTTTTATTACTCTCATACTGATACGTACATGTATATAGGGGTAAATAGATGTTGTAGTACACATTGAAGGGTACCTGGCCTTTTTACAGAGATTGAAACTCTCCCCATTGGATCACAAACCGTTCTCCATTATCCATTATCGTCCTATAGGATATATACCGACTAGTGTGTAGCATGTATACCCCAAACTAGTCCTCAGCTTCTACTCGCTTCTCATTTACGCTTATCCCTTCGCATTACATTAATACCTATTACCAACTGCCTCATTTTTATTTTAATAATATCAAGACCATTTTATACTTGTCATTTTTTATTTTATTATTTTTAAAAGAAAATAATTTTTTTAAAGGTCATTTTTTTTTTTAATTTGCTGTTTAGAAATTTATTATCTATATTGTTAAGAGAATAAGAAAAATTTTGTTTCCTTGAAATTTAATATCATTGCAAAGAATTTGTGCCTTTTTAAGGTTTCATTACATTCTCACCTATAGTAAATTTATTATGATAAATATTTAGGCTGCATTTTAAAATATCTCTAGATACATAATTAAGAAATGAACTCGTATCTTGTGAAATATTGACATTTTTAAAGATATAAGCTCATCCCGATGTTACACTCATCAAGAGCTTTCATTTGAGTACCCACATCAATTTTTCATATATTTTATATATTTATATATATGTATATATGAAAAATATATGAAAATGTATGTGGGTATTCAAATGAAAGCTTATGAGGAGTGTAACATCAGGATGAGCTTATATCTTTAAAAAAGTCAATAGTTAAGAAAGTACAGTACATTTTAACAAATATCTTGTGAACTATTGACATTTTCAACGATATAAGCTCATCTCGATGTTACACTCACCGAGACCTTTCATTTGAGTACCCACATTAATTTTTCATATATTTATATATATTATATATATGTATATATAAAAAATATATCAAAATGCATGTGGGTATACTTAAATGAAAGCTCTTAATAAGAGTAACATCGGGGTGAGCTTATATCTTTAAAAACGTCAATATTTAAGAAAGTACAGTGCAATTTAACAAAAGTCATTATTTAATAAAGCAAGATTTTAATTTTTTTTAGATCATAAGTTACGGCAGTCACATAGTGCTAGTTGTTATTATTCAGTAAAAAAACAAAAATTAACAAGAAAATTTACATTTTTTTTTAATAATTGCAATTTTACAAAATTATTTTGCTACTTAAAATAATTATTTTCATAATATTTTTAAAAAATTAATTTTAAATATAAATTATCCTTTGTAAATTTTTTTTTTGCTTTAATTAAATTAAATTCATAAATATTATTTGTTATTTAAAAGCATAATTTAATTAAAGAAATTATGACTAATCAATACTATATATTATATAAAATAAAAAGTTCCTAAAAGTCAGAGACTAATATTTAAAAAATAAATAAATTCATACATGAACAAGCCTATTGACCAAAAGATAGGAAAAATAAAAAATCACGAAAGAGTAAAATTGACAGGATCGGTTGGTGGCTTTCGCGGCCGGTCTCCTTGTAGTTAAACCTAATCTCCGCTTATTTAAAACTTACTTAAATGCATGCATGTAAGTACTTAAGAGTAGGTAAATAAGGCAAAAAGGCGTACTCAGTCACGTGTAACGCCGACTAATAACTCACAGCTTTGTGCATCTTTGAAATAATCGACTCTCTTTCTCCCGCCCGAGATATTATTATTATTATATGTCTCAACTAAAATCTCAAGTATCCCGCGGCTCGATTCAATATCCACTTACCACGCGGCTTTAACGTCAAAAAACACTTTTTCATTGTCCTTTATTAATATAGTGTGTTTTCAATTGCCGGAAAATTGCCGCTTTTTAACAAGTGAGTTTTTAAAAACTTTTAAATTCATTTTTTTTTTAAATCAACTTTCCACTCAAATTAAAAAAAAAATTTCTAAACTTTAATTTAACACTAAAATTTTTTTAATTAATTTCTTATAAAAATATTTAAAAGTAATTTTTATCGCCAATTATTAAAAATAATTTCCTATTCAAATTTTTTAAATAAAATTAAAAAAATGAATTTTTTACTAAAATTTTAAAAACATTTTTTCGTCTTACAAAAACTCAAAAATCATTTTTATTTTAAATTATATAAAACTTTAAAAAAATTAATATTAATCCTTGATATATTTTCAAAATATATATATCTCACGCTCAACAAATCCGAAATTTAACGTCTACCTTTTCTTCCAAGTCATCAAATACTCCCAAAGTAAATATGTTGATTAAATCAATTAACAAAAAAAAAACACAAATACAAATAAAAAATCTAAGCCCAGAATAATAACCACCTAAACCCCAGAAAAAAAAAAGAATATAAAATATCTCGATTATCTGAGAGGTCAATATTTGTCTTTTTAAAAACTTCAAAGTGCTCCGCACCTTTTATAATCCATTATTCTTATTCCCTAGTTTTCTATATTATGAATAAAAAATTACCCGATTTTTATAAAATGAATTTTTGTTAAATAAATTACACTCGAACAAAATAATTGTTATTTAAAATTAAAAATT